ATGTGCACTGATCCTTGCACGTATAGGTTTGCACACAGAAAGTTGCCATTGGTTATTACAGAAGTGAAATCATTGATTGATCGTAGTTGTTACTTCCCTTTGTAAATTTTTGGGAAACTCTCGCATCAGGAATTAGCAACAGTCTCTTTACCGGTTCATTCTGTCGAGAAACAGTACGGTAGGTTGGCCCCGCCGACTCGAAGCAGCGCCGTTACATGGACCGAACGATGGCAACTCTCGTTAAATGACTATGGTAGCAGAGTAACGCTTTGGACGTTCCAAATGCCTAACGAAAAGTACCTACTATGGTTAAAATATTCTGCTTGTTTCATAGCATAAGTGTTATTTATAACAGGAATCAGATGGTTCATATTTCCAATGGCGAGCATGGATAATAAATGTATGCAAACGCATATTTTCAACAGTTACATTTAAAGTAACTTAAATTAATTTACTTAATTATTTAGTTGGTTTTGAAAAAGACAAAATTTGTGTATTTGGGACCCTGTTGCAGCTCTGGAAACTCAAACGTTCTTCTAGAATATTGCTGTAACCAATATCCATTGTTTGATTCGTCTTCGTTATTGATGCGTCATAATTGCATGTTGACGTTCCTGCAACATTCTCTCTTCTACGCTGGCAAAACAATTTATCCGTCCGTCGGATGGTTCCCGCAGGCCCTTGCAGTATCGACTGGACGTTTGCCGTCAGGTGGAACCCGGTTTATACTTCTTAATATCCTTTGATTGTCTCTAAAGCCAGGCCGCATGACAGGCACATCTTCTCTTGGCGTCATATAAGACAGAAGTCACGCTTGTTCATTCAGTTGTCGAATTAGTGCGCCCGGAACCTGATCCCAGAGGTAGACCTTTGCTCTATAACTGGTAGGACAGTTCAGTAGAACAGTTGTTTCTTCGTCTTCATTGCCAGCTTACAGTCGGTTGCGATGTTTTGTAGTACAGTTAAAGCTGGGCGATGCCGCCTTCTATCTGTTGACTTCCTCATCTAACGAGTTCATATGGTTCACCTGACTGTCGAGATATACACAGCTGGTGACTTATTCATGTTCTTCGCCATATAACGGCAAGCAGGGCAATTCTCTTTTTGCACCCATTTCTTCTTGAAGGAGTTATCCTCCAATCCGATTGCGAGAGATTCTTCTGGCAACCGATAGATCTTCTGTTGGGACTCCATTGTGTCTGTAACCAGTAGCAATGCACTATATGCATTACATTTCGTAATGGATACGATCTAGTCTTAGTGACGTGCATTACGAGTCGCTTTAAATGCGTCAAATCGTAGTTAATTTTTAAACGCTTCTGGAAGCGCTTGTAAGGAATTATTAAGGCAGGCTATTAAAGTTTCTTTTTCAATAGCGGCATTCATTCATAAAGAAATTCTAGGGATTTAGAATGAGAAAATTCATGAAAATTTGTTATTATTTTTATAATCTTCATCATATACCAACAGAGTTTAAACAGCAATATCTGTCCAAGTTGGATAAATATTTTGTTGCGCGTGATCATTCCCGACGTGAAGGTAACATAGTCGTCGCCAAAAGGTCTCTCTCTCTAAATCTATACCACCCACTGAATATCTTACCTATCATCTGCATCATGTTTGGTTGCGGTTAGCCTTGAGTTCAGGAGGGATAGATTTGAATGTACCTATCAAATCCATAAACTTTACTCTAAATTCAGTTATGGCTCTGAAGAACGACTGCATGTTATTGAAAACAAATGTCCTGGCAGGAAAAAATGGTTTGATTCCAGAACTGTGAAATTGCCCTGTTCGAAAACTTCACAGATTGCCAAGCATGAGATCACATAGAAATGTATGTCCGCGTTGAATGAAGTTTGCTGCTTTGTAAGCACTACGAAAGGGTTCGACAAGGCTTTGATATCTGATTCACTAATGATGTAAAGAAGCATAAGAAGTTGCGTTCAACAGGAGTTCGACAGATCTAGCAGAAAAAATGACAAATCCCCAAAATCGTCAAGAACATCGAGTCTTAGCGAGGGGATTCTCATTTTGTGTCTTGGTCTGCAGTGTTGGAGGTTGTTCAGTTGATGTTCGTATGGCCCTATTTCTACTCGGAATATGCCTGACAGCAGTTTGATGTAAATGAATCCTTATCGCAATCATTTTCGGGTTTTAGTTACTCGTAAAAAATATTGTTGTGACTCAAAGTTTAAAGTTTCGCATGGTGCCATCATCTGTAGAGAAGCAGCTAAATCTCAATGTCTCGCCAACTACTGAAATGGGAATCTAAGGCAGTTTAATGGATGACGAATGATGGGCAGTAGAAAAGACAAGCAAAGTTCTGCTGTCAATTAGGAATCTTTCCTTCCTTGACTCGTTAAATATTTCCTTTTACAAAATGCGAAAAACCGTCATGAAGGGATGTGACGAGTTTTGAGTAATCCGATGTTTTGCAAAGAAATTAAATCTGATAATAAGAAGACAACAGGTAGTGTAGAGACATGCACGTCCTAGTGAAGAAGAATGACACACTAAGTTTGCGAACGTTTGGAGGCAAGCTTTGCATATTTCTGAGTTTCTAGAAACTTTAAATTTCAAAACTTTTGCAAAAGCTAAAAACATTGAAAGTGTCTAAAAAACCTAAGACAAACGGGTATTTAAAGTGAAGTTAGCTGTAAAAATCTCGAAATATCAGAGACGGTATTAAAACCTGATTGGCTAGTTTTGTAATCTCGTTTCAGCGCTATCAATCAGCATTCAGAATCTAAAACTGGTGAAGTTGAACTCGGCATTTGATAAACGGTAATGGCGGAAAACCCGTCACTTTTACGATTTACTCTAATTATCTAATTTTCAGGCCCTCTCAATCATGGCGCAAGCGAAACCTATTAGGAACATTAAACCAAGATATACACAAGTAAGTAAATTTACAAGTTAAGGTTTTTGCCAATTTGCGGCCATTGCCTAGTTCAGTTGTTTTTTTATAGATGTAACGCTTTTTCAACGATTTCTAGATATTTATCGATAACAAGTTCGTGAATTCCGTCAGTGAAAAAACTTTTGAGGACATCAACCCGGCCAGTGGCGAAAAAATAGCTGATATACAGGTGCGCATGTTTTAGACATATTTTTCTGTCCCTGATAACGTAGGACGAAATTCAGTAGAAGAATGTAAAGAGAACAGCGTTTTACTTTGTGAAAAGTAGCAAAAACTGTTTTTTCGGATCAGTTCGCAATCTCATTTCGACTTTGTGTCTTATTTTGAAGGAACTGTGATACTGAAAGTAGTAGGTGTTCCTCGAAAATAGTTTTCTGAATCTAGGAGTTAGTTTGGCTTTTTTACGTTTAGAAATATTAATTTAAATAGACTTTTTTTCAATTAATTATTTGTATATCTTGATTCGGATTCACTGCGCGCACAGCCGCGGTTGAATCCGCTGCAAGATCCGCAGTGATCGTGTATCTCTCGGTTGCAAGCCACCTTTGGATAAAATCAAACCTGGTAAAGTTGTTCTTTGCATTTTTTGAATGACGAGCTTTGTTTTGATTATGGGGTCATGTCTGTTCTTGATTCAGTTTGAGCGTTTTTCTGTAACAGGACAAGAGTACGGTGATGAGTCTGTAACGGAAGACGGCATTTCAAACAACATACATTTACTGACTATTTAATTATGTAGCTGAGAAACCGATGCTGGACTAATCTGATTCATTTCTTCCTCCTTGCTGATTTCGATTTTGCTTTTTGCCTATTTCAGGGTGATTGCTTCAGAGATTTTTGTTTTTCGCCAAATTGCTTCTGCCCGGACGATGCTGTTTGTTTTTCATATTATGAAGTGATTCCTTAATGTTCTGTGCTCCGCAGTGACCAAGCCCTTTTCATCTGCTCCACTGAGACAAGTCACATGTTCACGGATTCGGTTCTTCGGTTTTTATATCGGTTCTCCCTGCCATGTCGCTTTCTCCGCAGGAGTAGTTTAGCAGATATGTTATCTAGGCGTCGTCTTGTTTTTGTTTTGATGACTTTGTTGTACAAGAGGCTGTAAAGTGATGTTGATTCAGTACTTCCAGACAAAACCAGTTGGCAGATGTTGTCCTCCTTATACAAACTGTCAACATGTCATCCGAATAACGCGAACCTTTTTCAGGCCAATCACTGTCCCATTTCGTCGATCAAAAACATTTTGATTTGCTTGGAAACTCTACTGTTTAATAAACAAAAGCCAAACCTTGTTTACCATCAATATTTTTTGCCCCTTTTTACCGTAAATGGTATGTAAGCAACAAGACAGCCTTTGTGAAGCGAACATATGACTGCAAAAAACTTGTTGCTGCACTCATTAAACACATACCTCCTACTGATCAGCTGTTTTATATCTGGATAAATTTTCAGAATAGGCCGTAAAGCGCTGCCCTGTTTGATAACAGTTCAATCTTGACCGCTCCCACCACCCCTCCCCTGACTCACAGAAATTGTTTTTCCCTTGAGGTTCTGCATTGCGTCCGTCATTGATCCCCTCCTAATCCCTTTAGTGATGCGGACAACACTACATGTGGGATTCTATAAAATTCATGCTCATTTGGAATAGGCATGTGTGCCACATCTAGCCTGCCAACTTCGCTATGATGAAGCTCTAACTGTAAACATCTCTGGTGTAAAGTAGTTTTAAATG